TTTTTTTTTTTTGTTTTATATTTATGGCTTCATATCTTGATTATACGAATAAATATGACAAACAATGAGTAAATTATTTAGTTCAATGAACATAGATTATCCTTTTTTTCATATATACATACATATATTACTTTCATTATGAAATATTATAATTAACGCATAACATTATATGTTAAATTTCATATATTATTTAAAATATTAAATTTATCTTGTACTTGAGTACAAATAACATTGTACGAACTTTGATATAACTAATAATTTTAAAAATATATAATCGTTATGCTTTAGATATTTCAATTTTATTGTAGTCAATATTTTAATTCTTAAAATATCCGAAAGGAATATAGATAAGAATATTAAAGATAATTAAGATAATTTTATTAAAATAAAATTTGAATTATATTTTCTTCCACAGAGTTTCTCTCACATATCGTGTGAAAAGCGCGCATAAGGTAAAACTCACGGATAAACAACTACTGCAGTGGATGTTTCCAATATTGTTAGTAATGTTAATTTATCTTGGTACGTGGACTTTGAGTGCACCGCCGTATGCTGAAGTAATAGCTGACAATTATGGTCTGAAATTCTACCAATGCTCTTTCAACTGGTGGGACCATAGTTTAGCAATCGGTAATAACAGATCGTGAAACACACTAGAAACACATTATAAAAAACATAAACCGACGTTTTGACTCGATTTTTTCCAAACTTGAGAAGAATTAGAAAGAAAATATTTCATTTGGTATTTTTAATAAAACACATTTATCAGTAGACTTATACAAAAATTTTATTCTGCTCAAATAATAATTAGTTTTTAAATATTAAATATCAACATTTAATAATGTTTATTAACGACAAAAATACTAGTATTTAATTTAAGTATCAGTATTATAAGAAATACATTATGTTATTTTGCATTATATAGAGTCGCGCACTTTAATGTTTAAATCTTATCAATATTATGTAGCAAAAGTCCATAAATGCTTCGTTAAAAAATTATGAAACGTGAAACTGTACATCCTTTTGTGTGTGCATTTTAAATTTATTGTGATTCGAATTTTATGTTGACTTAGTCGATTTTTTGATTTTTAGTAATCAATTCATATTGTGCAAATGTTTCCTTGTTCAAAGTCTTTGTTGTTTCTTTCTTGTTGTCTTTTTTTGCCACATAGAAATATAGAAAAGTTGTCTTTTTTTCCCACATAGAAATATAGAAATCTAAAGATGTAAAAATAATAATTAAATAAGATGTAAAATAATAATATACTATATTTACCACATTATATCTTACCTTGCGTTAAAATCGAGTGAAAAAATGGAATTTTTCGATTCCTCGAAAAAATGAAGAAACTTTTAAATAGATTCTATTTGAAACATGGTTACAAGTCTCGATGAGAACAGATAAATAAATGAAAAATAAAAGTTTCATATGGAATAGAACTTATCAAATGTAAAAATAAAGATTTTTAGTATTACTTTTCTGTGAAAGAAACAGATAATTTGCTCGTCGATATTCAAAAAGTTCTCAGCATGTAGCATTCCGAACAATGTAGCAAATCCTAACATTGAATATTATTCAATGACCAGTACTTGAATATAAAAATGGATTTCTAATTAAATATTCTAAACTTATTAAATATTCATAACTTATTTCCATGAAACTTTTGTTATACAGATTATATTCTAAAATATCTGTTCCATGAGAATACTATTCAAAATTCTGTTCCTAAATGTAACATTTCTTTCTATAAAAATTCCACGAAAGCAAATATTTTAAAAATAAAAAAAAAACCTGTTAATTTCGATTCCTGGTTAAAATAAGAATTACGTATTTGTTACATTTCATATTTTGATTACATTTTTACATTTGTCACAACTTTAAATAAGAACTTTTAATATTACAATAAATAAGAAAATTTTAATATTACAATACGAGACACTATGTATAATTTCAAAGTGACTCATTGTTAATGTTGGCTGGCTGAGAATTAAATAAATAATTTTTATGACAAATCACGAGTTATTGTTATAAATCTATTAA